AAATCCCCTTTCCCCCCCCCCCCCCCCCCCCAAAAAAAAAAAAAAGTAGATAATGTTATGCATATAGACTATGTATCAAATCTTTTTATTGTTATGTTTGTAATGATGAAATCATTTGTCCCTGTGCCTTTAATCAATACAGCTGTCAATTTCATCACTCTTTAGTTTTCAGTTGGTTGTGCTTGGTAGAAACTAGCTTAAACATATTTTTTCAATGTTACACTGTGTAAGACTCTTTTAATGCCCTTCTTTTCTCTTTTGGGAAGCAGAAAGCTTTAGCACAAGCAAACGATGCAAAATTGGAAGGCAATAAATTTTTTGGAGGTGGACAGTATGAGGAGGCTTTGTCAAAGTATGATCTTGTTTTACAAGTTGTACCAGAGATGCCATCATCTGCTGAAATACGCTCAATATGTCATGCAAATCGTGCAGCATGTCTGTTTAAAATGGTATGTTCTTATGATTGTGTCTTTCAAGAGGATATCTTACGCAACATTTTGCACCGTGAAATTCTTCAATGGAGTACCTTTTTCAGATATGTTGGAATTGACTGATGCTCAGCATGTCAGAGCATTTTGATGCTTGTAAAGGGTTTTTGAGCACATGGTTGCTTTTGGGTCATTGTGCTTGTATGCATTCAAATTTTTTCTGCTATTTACTCTGACCAGCTTGTTGGAAGGATTTTACATGCTTCTTTTACATACTAATTCTAATTATCATGGCTTTTAAGTTCCCTTGCCTTGTAACTTCCCAATGCCTTGGTTTTGTGACAGTCTGTTAATTCCTATGAAAAGTTCTGTAACATTTTGGATCCATAAAACTTAATTTATTAAGAAAATTAGACAAATGATGTACCCATCCTTATAAATTTTTCAAACGGAATTTTGGTCGCATTAAGAGGCTTTGATAGATTGCAGTTTCCAAATCATCAAATAAATCAATCATGGGCTAGAGCAACACTAAGCTTGGAATTGATTTTAGCCATTGAAGCCTAAGGTGGGGTGATAGTTTTGTGGGCAAGTAAACAAGTTTGGGGACAAGTTGCTTTTCTTAGGTTGCTTGAAGGAGGAGTGATACTTTACTGGTAAGCTCAAAGCAGAATATTATTCAATGCAATGATTAGACTCCAGAAAACTGACGGTTTTTCACCCAGGCAAAACAAACCATTCTTGAATGTCAGCCTGAAACTTACTGAGAAAATTCTGAGGGGAGAAGAGAATTTGAAATGGAAAAGGGGAGCAGCTTATGACTTCCATCTCAATGATTGTACTTTATTTAGTAACTATTTGTATTACTGCTTTCTTTTAGTCTATTCCAATTATTTGTGCATTAATTTAAATGTTAGTTGCTACTGAATATATTTCAGGAGAAATATGAGGACACAATCAAGGAATGCACAAAAGCATTGGAACTAAATCCTACATATTTGAAAGTACTGGTTAGGAGAGGAGAGGCTCATGAAAAGCTTGAACACTTTGAAGAGGCTATTGCTGGTAATTTTGGATGCATTAATTGTACACCTATGATAATTCCATTAGTGTTGGTTATTTTATGCTATAAATGTTGCATTTGTAATGTCACTGAACCCTCTCCCTCTCTATCTCATCCTTTCCTCTCCATGTGTGCTTGTGTGAGGTTTTTGTCCAGTCTGTCTATCAATAGCTATATATATCTTTGTGATGGCAGTGTTCAAGAGTATTCGTATCGTATTTATTTAGGCAAGAACGAATGAATTTTATAAACTCCTGAAAAAATTACAATGATTTTTTTTTTTTTTTGGGGGGGGAGACATGATCTGCCTAACCCCTTCATATAATGTCTAAAAAATACAACAAAAGAATCCATATACAGAAAAGAAAACTCAAACAGTCAAAACAGTTTTCTTCCTAAGACAGCAGATATTCCTCTGATCTTGCAACAAGAGAAGCTTTGCTTGGGTGGGCAGAGGAATGGATGCTGAAAAATGTGTAGAAGACCTATCCTGCACGCCCCTATTTGCCAGAAAATCAGCTACTTCTCTGTATACATGAGAAATCTGAAAATTCAGTCTCCTTAACACCTCCAAAATTTTCTGTGAAATATCCCAGAATTTCCAAGACTGCTGATGACCTCCCAAAATCATATTAACCAAAACTTGAGAGTCTGATTCGATGAAAAGAGTATAATCAGAAGGCTCATACCTTTCCAACAATTTCAAACCATCCAGCAAAGCCATAAATTCAGCATTCATCTTAGAACTCTTACCATAGAAAAACGAAGTTGCAAGTACCATTTGACCCCATTCATTCCTTAAAATGGACCCACCTCCAGACAACCCAGGATTGCCCTTAGAAGCACCATCAACATTTAGTTTAAGGACCCCAGCAGGAGGAGGAACCCAGCAAACCAATATAACCTTGGTCCTAATCTGAAAAGGAGTTTCCACTTTCAAAGCCTGCAATACAGCTCTGTCTTTCATGTCTTCTGCCACTCTTGGTCTCATACCAAAAGATTGAAACCTTAAAATATTACAAATCTTCATAAAGACAGATATGACTGTAGCTGCCCCTCATCATACCTTCTTCTACATCTCTCCTTCCACAATTGCCAATATACTAATAAAAGAACTTCCTCTTATCAACCCATGACATAAGGATTGAGATTTAAAAACCCTTACCAACCTCATCCCCCTCACTATTGGAAGCTCCTTAGGAATTAACTGAAAACCTATGATAGTAGCCAAAGTACTCCAAACTAACTCTGCATAATGACAATCCACAAACAAATGACCCATACTTTCTGGATCCTTATAACAGAATTACACTTACTCACTAAAGAATTACCCAAACCTTGGATTCTAGAATCTAAAGGCAAGGCATTCCTCCAAATCTTCCACCCAACTAACTGTGCACTAGGAGAAATATGCTGTCCCAAATTGCTGATGCTATTCCATTCCTATTCCCTGACCAAGTACCAAGCTGATTTAACAGAAAAGGAACCAGAATTAGATTCCTGACATACAGTCTTATTTGGTTTATCAGACAAACAAACACCAGAAGATAAAATTTCCTCTTGCAACTGGTCAGACAATAAATCTGACACCCCTTCCAACTGCCAATGAGAACCTATACAAAGCTCTGAAAGTTTGGGATAATACTGAGGCACCCCTTCAATTTTCCCCAAAAGAGGACCTGAACCTCTCCAATTATCACACCAAAATCCACAGAATTCGCATTCCCCACAATACTTTTGGAATGAACAATCACCTTCCTAAACCAAGGTTGTAAGAATCTCAAACATGAAGTTCTCCCTTGGCCTGAAGACCTCATAAGATGCTTATTCTTCAAATACTTATCAGAAACCTGTGCCCAAAGAGAAGTCCCCTGTATTATATTCCAAATTTGTTTCATCCTAAAAGTCCCTTGAATATCTTCAAACTTTCTCAACCCCAGACCCCCCTTTTCCTTAGGCAAAGTCACCTCATTCCAAGAAACCCATTGCCTCTTCTTAACCTCTGAATTATTAGACCAAATAAATGCTGCCTTCAAAGAATTTAGTTTAGCTATTATACCTTTAGGAAGATTCTGACAGGCCAACAGATGAATAGGAACAGCATTCATCACAGACTGAACCATGGTCACTCTCCCCATATTGGACTACATTCTAGCCTGCCAACCTTGTATTCTAACTCTGAACTTCTGAATAACATCTTCAAAAATACCTGAGCCTAATTGTGCCTTTAATAAGAGGACAGCCCAAGTAATTAAAAGGACAAATCTTAATAGGGATCTTGGCCGCATTCGACAGAATCAGTCTCCTTACCTGAGAATTTGACCAGAACTATTCTCATACCTACTAAGGAACCCCATTAAATTCTCCATTGATTGTTTATTGCCTCTTAAAAACACCAAAGTGTCATCTGCAAACAGCAGATGACTAATCAAAATAGACCCTCTGCCAATATGAAACCCCTTAACCAACCCTGAATGATAAATCCTACTTAACCCCCTGCTCAGAACTTCTTCTGCGAAAATAAAAAGACTAGGGGAAATTATTAATACCTGCTTTTCAGTATTCTTTTTGTTGTACTTATTAGCGGTGTCTTAATTTTATATATGTCGCAGATATGACGAAAATTTTGGAATTGGATCCGTCTCATGACCAGGCTAGGAGAGCTATTGTCCGTTTGAAACCATTGGCAGATGAAAAGCGTGAAAAAATGAAGGAAGAGATGATTGGTAAGCTCAAATAATACTCTGCTAGTAATAAAATGCCATTGCTTTGGTTCCTTTCTTTTTGGTCCGTTGGCAGGAATTTTCTGGTTTCTTTCTCTTTGAATAGGAAAACTGCTTTACTGTCCCCTTTTAGTTCTTTATATCTTAAGTTATATTAGTTGCCCATGTGGCGGGCCCCAAATCAAAACCCAAACTCAATTTTTATGGGGAAAAGAAAGTTTTGTCGCATTTTTTTAACACGGTGTTCCTTTTGAACTCTTTTCTTTCCTTCTTATTCTGTCAGCAAACAAATTTCAGTCCTAATGGAGATAATAAGAATCCTTATCTGCTACATATGGATCAGCAAAAAAAAAAAAAAAATTTNACAGAGGGAATAATATTTTAAGATCAAGTTATAATTTTTTAATAGTTTAAGTTACAATTCAAAAATATTATAATCAATATAAAATGGTATGACCCATCATAAAAAAAAATATTTTATAAATAACTTTTAAAAGATAAAATTATTATTGTTTAAAATAATTCATGATCAATTTCAACATTTCATGACCCATCACAAATATTTTGATCTACCACATCAATCATGAATCATTATAACTTGCCCCTAGTGTACAATCTAACTTTTAAGGGTGATATTTTTTTGGTAGTCTTTCAACCCACAAAGTAGAAGGTGATTTTATTCTGTTGCCAATTTCTTTTCTTATTTTTTGGGTTGGTTTTTTTTTCCTTTTTTTTTTTTTTTTTTGGTGGGGGGGGGGGGGGGGGGGACACTTTGTCGGTGGAATATTTTTTAGTAAAGCCAAGATGATTTTGGTCTTTCTATTCTTTAAACCCTATTGTATGATGAAATGCTCTTTTTTGATTTTTCCCAGTCCTTCAGTGAAATTATGTGATTTTTTTTTTCAATAGGAAGGCAACAGTGTACATTTGATATGGGTCTCAACTATAAAACCACTAAATTTCTAACTGTATCAAAATAAGCGAAAAAAATACACTAGAAATGAGCTAACAGTATATGAAGTGAGCTGAGAAGCATGCACATAATGTGTTTCTTGCCTCATTGTTCGGTGTCTGCTGTATATATTCAAGAAAGGGGATTTACCGCTTTTTTTTTTCATCTATTAAAGTGGAATATTAGTAAAGAATAGAAGTTAGAAAAGAGATGCAATATTGAGGACAAGTAAAAGAAAAACGAAATTAAAAAAAAAACTGAAGGATATCTGCTCAAAATTCTGTTGAAAATGCACAAAACCACTCCTTCAAAATGCCCAGCGGCTTTGTATGGAGGATGCATGCATTTTGATGAGTTCATACAAACTAAATTGATGCGAGCTTCGCTTTGCTTGCTGTAGTTAATCTGGCGAGTTTAGCAGTACAATTTAGCCCATCTACCAGCTTCACAGAGCATTATCTCTTCCACTCCACACCTCACAAAAAAAAAAGAGGAAAAAAAAACCACTACACCACCACCCTCCTCTGTAAATTCCATTCCCAAATTTCAGGTCTCCAAAGTGGCTTGTGTTATAACAAATTTCCAAATTTAAAGCCAGTGTAATCATTAGTTGTCAGGTTGTGTAGTGACATAGACACAAGCCCTGTCGTTTGTGGATGGGGTTATTTTGCTTAGACCAATATTGCTCTGGGCTTGGTTTAAGCCTTCTACTTATGAACTTGTGCAAAGCTTTGCCCGTTCTGTTTTTTTTTTTTTTTTCTCTTTTGGGTTTGCAGATATGCAACACATGTAATATTATGATCCACGCAATCCCTCTTTGAGAAACTGAAGTAGATGGATTTGATCTGTGAGCAGGGAAGTTAAAGGAAATGGGAAATTCCATTTTGGGCCGCTTTGGGATGAGCGTTGACAACTTTAAAGCCGTTAAAGACCCCAACACTGGTGCCTATTCTGTTTCATTCCAACGCTAGTTATGTCTGTGCCTATGTTCATTTTACTACAAACAGAGGATTCAAGGGCAGACATGGAAGCACATGATAGAACAATGTAAAGGTTGTAGACTTTTGTTTGGAGTAATGATGATTTCAAGTATATAACATTTGTTTGCAGATTTGGGTATTGGGTTCTGTTTTGGCTGTGCGAGTGTGTGATTATTAAGTTTCTGGATAATCACATTCTGTTTACAAATTGGGGTATTTGAATGAGCAATGAAATGGTACATTAAAGTTCACCTATTTATCGTGCAAGATCTGTAGCTTCTTTTGCCTCTTTCAAAATTTTCAATTAATTGCCAGTCCTACTCTGCTTCTGAGTTATTTGTTTTGCGTATGGTTGGAGAGAAACACAAAGTCATAGCCGTAGTTTGAGCGTTTTGAGCTGATTCTATTTGGTGTGGTTACTGCTACCATCAAGATACATCTTAACTTCGCAATTTAGGTGGGAGCCGAGTGATCTCTGCCCACAGGGAAAAAAAGTAGACAAATGACCTTATTTGGTGGTAGCTTCGTGGGAAGGTGAAGATTGCCCTCATTCTGTTAAACCATCTTCCCTCAAAATAGGGGCATGCTTGCGTTCTTGCCACCCATATGCAGGACGCCGACTTAGCCATCCTTGAACAAGATTGCTCACATGCAGGTATAGATGGTTTAGTGGCATGGATAAAAAAGAGCAAGGAAATAAATTGGGAAGCATCCACTGTCAATCCTTAGGTGAGAAACTTTTTGTTTCTTTGTGTTTGGTAGGAGGGATGCAAGGTAATAGTGATGGATTTTTTACTGGTTTTTAATTTGGAACAGTGTCAGAAATAAAACTGCATCAAATTGAGCAATAATCTCCTTAAATAAACTCTTGTTACAACTGTTCATTACATTGCAGCTCAAAAGACACTGCTCATTGGATTAAAATCTTGACCAAATGACAAGATTACATTTTATTAAACACAATTTATTAGCTTCAGTTATACCTATATCTGGGTATGGTGCCAAAAAACTACCACCAACTTAAATAACACTTGAGATATGTGATAGCACAACAAACAGTAGTTCAAACATCAAAATTTTCAATTGTATCATGCTTGTAAGGACTCCTTGTAGCCATCATTCTGCAAGAGTTGCTTCTCTGTGAACACTGCCACATGATGTTCCAAGTACTCCCTGCTATTCATCTCTGTTAACCTGCATTAAAAAGTAATTTTACCTGTCATTCCTGATCAAGTGAATTACATTATACAAAATGAGGCAACTTAAAGTCTAACCTAATGTTGCTTCTTCTTTCAACAACTTGGGAAAAGAATTTGGTATGGAATTCATGTTGAATATCTTTTGCTTTTTCTTTTTCTTTTTTTTCTGTGAAGTGCTCCACTCCAAAATCTAGAGCTAATTGTTGAAAATTTGGAATTTATTTGTTTCGAAGTATGAAGGCGTAAGGCTACAGTACATCTGACCCTTTATAGGCCTTGCATTAGTCAGAGCCTCGTGCAATGAACCATCCTTTTCTTATTAAGAAGTATTAGGGATGATTGCAAAGTTTCTATGATCTTCAAAAAGTAATAAACTAAAGGACATTTTTTGTAAGAATAGTTTTTTAAACTATTCTGTTCACTACTTCTGAAATCTACGTGTATAAAGGAATTATCAAGATGTAAATTATAGGTCATCAGAGTGCCTTTGCCACAAAAAGGGTTACAAAGTGCAACAGAATACACGACACAAACATACTTGTGTGCAAATAATACCAAAATCCGGGAGGTAACTGAGCAGATTTCAACCTGCTGGATGGGTTAAACGCATGATTGATATCCCCTATGTCTTCTATATCATTCCAACGCTGAAATCAAGGCTATTACTTTGATGATACAAATTAATTTCGGGCCAAAATGTATGATTGGAAAAATGTGCAGAAAGGCACATAGGGCAACGTGCATAAAGTTTTCCAAATTTTAAGTGAACTGTTCAACCACATGACCAGCTTCTTATAATATATGAGAAAAAGCATTATTGGTTGAACATCATACCTGCTAATGGTGCGGTCTTTTGCAAATCCTAATTCATTATCCACACAAAGATCAAAATCATCAGTTCTCCTTGATCTTGAAGAGGTTCTAGGTGCCATCTGCTGTGCCTCAGATATTGTCACAATGCTTTCGAAAAGTTCAAGAGGAGTCCCCTCAGCTGTACACAACAATCTAGCTTTATTATCATACATCACCTGTAGATGAAGCAGAGCAAAAATTATTAGTTGCATGCTACCTCTTGGTAATGAAAAGAACGCAATTACTTCGGAATTTAATGAAGCCCACAGGGTAGGATATACCCGCGAGTTAAAACATTATCTAAGTATTATCATTTGTTGATAGCATGCTGTGGTTCTTTCAAGACATGAAATACTTATTCATCTAATTGTCAAAATAATACTTAATCAAATCATTCTAAGAGAAAAAGGACTAACATCTACTAGAGTGACAAACCGATATGCTGCTGTCCTATTGTGGAGCCCAAAAACAGGCACACCATCCAAAGCCAGGGTATGGAAATTCTCTGCCAAAAAGTAGATATCAATTAAGAACTAATTGTACAAAAGAGAAACAACACAAAATTCACTATAGATGCATTTGTAAGGAATGCAGAGGTACCAAACGCAAGGACCTGACCATTGCGGCAGCTAATAGAAAATCACAAATAATTCAACTATTCGAGTTCACAAAGAGAATAAAAGTAACAAACTAGAGGTCCAAAGAAAATAATCCAATAGTGAAACCAGTTTGTCTTGGGCATAGTTTTGAGCATTGTCTTTCTCCTATTCTGGTCAATCTGAAGTCCCGTGACACCTTATTTTCTAATGTGAACAACCCAAATATCCAAACCCCACTACATTAAACCTCATCCCAACTATTTGGTATTACCTACTGAAACTTGAATTATAAGTATGAAATGTATCCAAACCGAGCCAGGCTGGAAATAACTTACTACACAATCCAAAGTAATCTGCAGCTCCAAGAGGTTTGTCACAGAGTTCTCCAAAAGGAAAATATGCACATCCATTAGCACCCAATGGTACCTAAACAGCAAATAAACAGGCATAAAAAACGTGTTCTAAGAAAACTGTTTTGTCCTTCCCATACAACTAATGCAACAGTGTGTGAAATTGAGTATTAATATATACACCTGCAATGTCCTTCCCATAACAACTTCCACCTCTTCTGGACCAGCTCTATGTTCTCCAACTAATTCTTGAAACTTTTGCATAAGAAGGTCTGACAAGTCTTTTCCAATGTAGTAGAAACCTTGCTCAGCCTGCAATTCAAGTTAAAGCATGCAAAGGCACTACTATAATTTGTATAATCAGAAATAACTAGCTACTTATGCAAACCAAACAATCTAATGAAAAACGGAGAGAGTTGATATTGTACCGAAGTCATTTTCCGGTAATCCACTGACGAGCCAATTTCATGGGCGACACATCTTTCCTACATCAAAAGCAAGTTTCCAAGTTACTTACTGAATCAGTATAATAAATTTAAAGGACATTGAACTGAGGCCTTTAGTTACTGATATAAAACCAAATGCCAATTTAATTGAATGTTCCTATTACTTTGCAGTATTGAGTAGTAGTATTGATCAGAGAAGTTCAGACCCGTCTAGAAGTGCCTCAGTTTGGATTCAGAAGCAAGAGAACTTCTCTCTATTCATTGCGATTAAACTTGAGATATTCAAAAGCTCATTGGGCTTGAGCCAGGCTAACATCCGTATCCTTACCTTCAGAGTAGAAATGAATGGTAGAAAAAGATCTCTTTGCAATCCACCTGCATAAAGGTTATCTGGAGCACGGTTTGACGTAGCAACAAGAATCTATACTTGAACAAACAAAATCCACATTATCTTCCAGCAGAACATACACAGTTCAACAGTACAGATGGATTATAAACACGCAGAATATAGTATGGTTAAATAACTTACAGCCCCATTGCTGAATAGATGTCCAAATAGACGGTTTAGTATTAATGCATCAGCAACATCAGTCACCTATGGAAAACACCAGACTGGGACATGAAAAACCGCACTAAAGCAGAAACCAGATGGAATCCATATACAAAAGCAACAAAATTAGGGTCCTATTCTAAAATACCATGAATTCATCAAGGCATAACAAAATTGATTCATCAGATATCTCTCCCGCAACGACTTCAAGGGGATCTGCCACACCCTTGTGCTTCTGCAATAACATAATATTTAATCATTTAAGTTAAATTTCTATTTCAGGATTAGCATATATCACCTAGTGCTATGTAAATCAGCATAATAAGATGCAGTATGGTCCAAAAGGGAATAGACTTAAGAGTCTGTAGGATTTTGGCAAATGGTCATACTTGTAAGCGGCTGTGAACATTCAACATCAAGTCGTGAAAATGGATCCTCTTTTTCCTCCAGTTGCAGGGCCTGGGAAATGAAAATTAGAGATTATACCCAGTGAATGGTGACTGCTTTATATAGATCAGAAATTTTCCCACATTTTACATACATAGATTTCTCAATATTTGCGCCAAAATTAAATTAATTAATTCTAATTCTTACAGTTGATCGAAGAACAAGTCCATCAACATAGTTTTTCCTGTGCCCACTCCTCCATAAAGATAAAGTCCTTTCACAGGTGAGTATGAAGATTGTGGCATGAAACGAGACCACAACCACCTACTCCTGAAAATGAGTTAAAGAGCAATCAAAGGATGATTTGGTATGTGGACACAAACAATATGAAATTTGGCAACTACAATAATGAAAACTTAGCCAGTAAATCGTTCAGATGCCAGAAAATAAAGGTCAGGAAAAAGAATTACCTCTCGGCTTTCTTGGAAGCAGCATACCGATCTAATCGGCAGGCATCAGCTGAATCAACCAGCTGATCATAAAGTCTCTGTAATTCTCTCAAGGTGCCTACCTGCAAATCGTTGTCAGCATATCTTTTACTGGAAAACAACTATAAACTACAGAGACACAGTAAGTCCTATCTACAAGAAGCATCATTTGCTTGACATATTACAATTGCTATTCTTGCTTTCCATATCTTAAAGTTGTTCTAATGTGGGCCTTAACCGCAGTTTATGTCCCTCCATAAATGACANTGAAAAACCGCACTAAAGCAGAAACCAGATGGAATCCATATACAAAAGCAACAAAATTAGGGTCCTATTCTAAAATACCATGAATTCATCAAGGCATAACAAAATTGATTCATCAGATATCTCTCCCGCAACGACTTCAAGGGGATCTGCCACACCCTTGTGCTTCTGCAATAACATAATATTTAATCATTTAAGTTAAATTTCTATTTCAGGATTAGCATATATCACCTAGTGCTATGTAAATCAGCATAATAAGATGCAGTATGGTCCAAAAGGGAATAGACTTAAGAGTCTGTAGGATTTTGGCAAATGGTCATACTTGTAAGCGGCTGTGAACATTCAACATCAAGTCGTGAAAATGGATCCTCTTTTTCCTCCAGTTGCAGGGCCTGGGAAATGAAAATTAGAGATTATACCCAGTGAATGGTGACTGCTTTATATAGATCAGAAATTTTCCCACATTTTACATACATAGATTTCTCAATATTTGCGCCAAAATTAAATTAATTAATTCTAATTCTTACAGTTGATCGAAGAACAAGTCCATCAACATAGTTTTTCCTGTGCCCACTCCTCCATAAAGATAAAGTCCTTTCACAGGTGAGTATGAAGATTGTGGCATGAAACGAGACCACAACCACCTACTCCTGAAAATGAGTTAAAGAGCAATCAAAGGATGATTTGGTATGTGGACACAAACAATATGAAATTTGGCAACTACAATAATGAAAACTTAGCCAGTAAATCGTTCAGATGCCAGAAAATAAAGGTCAGGAAAAAGAATTACCTCTCGGCTTTCTTGGAAGCAGCATACCGATCTAATCGGCAGGCATCAGCTGAATCAACCAGCTGATCATAAAGTCTCTGTAATTCTCTCAAGGTGCCTACCTGCAAATCGTTGTCAGCATATCTTTTACTGGAAAACAACTATAAACTACAGAGACACAGTAAGTCCTATCTACAAGAAGCATCATTTGCTTGACATATTACAATTGCTATTCTTGCTTTCCATATCTTAAAGTTGTTCTAATGTGGGCCTTAACCGCAGTTTATGTCCCTCCATAAATGACACCTCAATAAGTAGCAAATTTACTTAATGTACCAATTCCAACTCGTGCACAGTACACACTAATAATACCAAGCCATCTAGGAAGCATGATAATTATTTATCAAATACAAGCCAAGAAGGAAAATTTCCAATAAAGACAAGGAATTTACCAATCTGCATTGGAAGAAGATTATTAAATTCTTAAAATTCAATATTTTCATATAACTATATACGTAAACCTATTATTGTCATTAAAATAAGCATATGGACTGAAAATAGATGTAGGTAACTATTTGATTACCATACCTGGCAAGCATCACCATCCATGAGCTCACCCGCAGCAATTCTGCGTTCATACTCCACAAGAGGTCCTTCTCTGTTCGATTCTATTACCAAGTCAATAACACCCAAAACAACCAAAGATGAGAAATGTAAGATCATAATGATAAGAACTACATCCAATTAGCATAAAAGATCATTCTAAAGCTCAACCTCCGTTAGTTACTTTTGCTGCATCTGTGGACAAAGCTCTGGAGGTCCGATAGGAGTTATGTCCGTATCTACAAATATCTGCATTGTAGGAGAATTTGTAGAAAGCCCCACGATTTCTCTCGAGCAAAAAACTTTGTCTTTTAGCTAACCCAATACAGATGATGTCTCCTCTATTATGCCTAAATGCTGCTCGAAATTGTCGTAAGGATTGAACAGTCCTTCTCATCTTTTATCCAAGAGTTCAATAAGTAATGCACAAACTCAATCAGCAGGCCAATAGAGATGAGCCTCACAAGTAGCTCACAAGTCTCTGAATTACAAAAAGTTCTCTAATTATACATTGAAAAAAGTAGCAGTAAAAAGATTATATTCTGAAATTGAAACATTCTTGCTTCCACGTGATAAAATTCCCCATAAATTTTGCTACTAGCACCGTTCAAAAAGAATCAATCTTTTGTAGTATCACAGTGAAAAAACTAATGGTGGCCCAGAAATTATTTCATACCAAACAAGAAATAAAACCTACCAACGATGGCCATAATGGTAAGCAAACACTGCATTAATTAATTTTCAATTTTCTCCAAAAAATAATCAATTATCATAATTAATCCTTAAAAAGATAGAAAAAAATTGACAAATAATAAACGGGACAGAAATTTTTGAAGCATGGTGATGCATTTATACAGTCCAAGTTCAAGAAAAAAGAACACCAATAATTAATTGCTCTTGGGAAAAAAAAAAGAAAAAAAGAAACTCAGAGCGGTGCATGCACAAGAAAGTGGGAGAACAGTCAACGAACCCACCTGATTAGTTGATTGAGTAGAAGAATTATCCCAAGATGGTGAAACCCAGAATTAGTTTCGACCCTTAAAAGATGTAGCTGATCTTTTAGAGATTGAGATTGAACAATTCTCCACCTTTTTCACACAATATACACACACAGAAACACACACATACAAATGGGTGTTGTGTGTGTATTTCTTCTTAACTCAAGACAATACGAAAAGGAGCTTACTTTTATATGTTTATTATCTGGTTGGGAGGTCCAAACAGAGAGACCCTAAATCTCAGGGGAGTCCTGGAGGAAAGAGGAGAGAGAAACAAAGGGAGTTGAAGAGAGAAGACACAGATGCTATGGGATTTGGGTCTCCTATAAAATTTGGGCCCTTTTTAGCTTTAAACATATAATATATATAGTTGTGTTGGCGTCTGACTCATAATTCAATCCAACGGTCAATACAAGCGCAAGCACTGGAAAATAAAATTCGCGTAATCCGACTCACCCAAACGTCATTATAATGACTTTTAGACGGTTTTGAGTTTGATTAAGAAAGATGAATGTTACATCAATTTTAAAATTAAATTTAATAATTATAATTATTAATTTTATTATAATTTTTAATATTTATTAAAACTCATTATCTATAAAAAGATTGAAATTATCAAATTTAAAATTTTTTAAATTCATTTAACGTTGCACTTTAAGAAAGCACAAACCGCATATTCTTCTTCCACCCCCCCCCCTCCCCCTCTGTCTCTCTCTCTGGCTGTCCCCCTCTTCCTTTATTTGTTTTTTCTTTTTTCTTTTTTCTGGGTCTTTCCTCGGTTTATTGTGGGGTTTGTTATGAATAGGACTTACATTACTTGAAATATCTTTTTTTAATTAACAATCCAACTATTATTAATGAATGATTTTTTTTTATATTTATATAATAAATTTTATTTAAATTTATGATAAATATAATCAAAAGAAACAAAAAATAATAATAGAAGAATATCACTCCATTTGACATATCATTGTCAATATTGGCCACTAATCGTGATCTGTCTTCGACTCTCCCCATTACGGGCGAATTTAGTATGGGGCAGTGGGGGTGCCTCCGCTGAAATTTTAAAAAAATTTGGGAGTTCCGTGAATTTTTAAAATATTTTAAATTTTGCCGCCATTAAAATTTTCATAATGTATAAGTGAGGTTAATATAATTTTTAAATCATTAAATATAACTTTCACAGTTCATTCAATTCACGTTTTTTATTAGTTTGGAGATCTTCTTTGTTTGAATTTTAGGTTAAGGGTTTAGCACGTGAAATTTTTTTAATAATTAGGATAACGGTGAGAGTCAAATACAAAACTTCCTATTCTAATACTTAAATAATAATTTATTCTAAAATTTTAAATTATTAAAAAATATATAATTTAAATATTTATATTTTAACAATTATCATATTATATATAGGCAGGAGCATCCTTGGATTACAACTGGCTTAGTCTAGCTGGCGACTGTAAGGATCATTGATCACAATATGCTTTTTGGTCCATAAACCTCTTTACCACTCCTTTGAAATGTGCAGTGTCATAAACATTTTGTACTTGCTTCTTTAGTTATCATGAGCAACTCAAGTGTCATGATAAAAAAGTATTTTACCATCTCAACAGATTGAGCTTCGCTCTATTTTCACTAGTTTAGGCATGTTAAATTACAAAATGACCCAAATTAGATTTTAGAGCTACTTGTGCAAACTAACCAAATCCAAAAATCATATCCGGCACCGGTCTTTATTTTTNTCCTTTATTTGTTTTTTCTTTTTTCTTTTTTCTGGGTCTTTCCTCGGTTTATTGTGGGGTTTGTTATGAATAGGACTTACATTACTTGAAATATCTTTTTTTAATTAACAATCCAACTATTATTAATGAATGATTTTTTTTTATATTTATATAATAAATTTTATTTAAATTTATGATAAATATAATCAAAAGAAACAAAAAATAATAATAGAAGAATATCACTCCATTTGACATATCATTGTCAATATTGGCCACTAATCGTGATCTGTCTTCGACTCTCCCCATTACGGGCGAATTTAGTATGGGGCAGTGGGGGTGCCTCCGCTGAAATTTTAAAAAAATTTGGGAGTTCCGTGAATTTTTAAAATATTTTAAATTTTGCCGCCATTAAAATTTTCATAATGTATAAGTGAGGTTAATATAATTTTTAAATCATTAAATATAACTTTCACAGTTCATTCAATTCACGTTTTTTATTAGTTTGGAGATCTTCTTTGTTTGAATTTTAGGTTAAGGGTTTAGCACGTGAAATTTTTTTAATAATTAGGATAACGGTGAGAGTCAAATACAAAACTTCCTATTCTAATACTTAAATAATAATTTATTCTAAAATTTTAAATTATTAAAAAATATATAATTTAAATATTTATATTTTAACAATTATCATATTATATATAGGCAGGAGCATCCTTGGATTACAACTGGCTTAGTCTAGCTGGCGACTGTAAGGATCATTGATCACAATATGCTTTTTGGTCCATAAACCTCTTTACCACTCCTTTGAAATGTGCAGTGTCATAAACATTTTGTACTTGCTTCTTTAGTTATCATGAGCAACTCAAGTGTCATGATAAAAAAGTATTTTACCATCTCAACAGATTGAGCTTCGCTCTATTTTCACTAGTTTAGGCATGTTAAATTACAAAATGACCCAAATTAGATTTTAGAGCTACTTGTGCAAACTAACCAAATCCAAAAATCATATCCGGCACCGGTCTTTATTTTTTTCTTTTGAGAAGGCAGAAAAAACTTGAACTCTTGACATAATTTTTTTTTTTTTTCATAAGATAAGGAGTATCATTGAACTAAAAATTCGTTCATCACTGTTCTTAATCATCTCTCATTTTCTTCTCTAGCAAATTTCTTATTCCCCTCTGTATCTCTCATCTTTTTTATTTGGGTTAATTGCACTAGAAGTCTCTAAAGTATAGAATTTATCTCATTTTAATCTCTGAAATATTAAATATGTTTTTATGTTGTCTTTCAATAGATTGCATCTAGATTGTTAACGATTTTTTATTATAAACTTGTCATGTAATACTAAATATGAGTAAAAAAATAATTTAGATAACTCTTGATCAAATTTTTACTCAAATTTTAATAAAAAAAAATTCAAATTACACAATTTTGATCATAAATTATCCAAATTTTAGTCAACAACTATTCAAATTTTTATCAAGAGCTACTCAAATTAATTTTTACTCATATTTAAGTATCACATGATAAATTTATAATAAAAAATTGTTAGTAATTTGGATGTTATATGCTTAAAGGACCATATAAAAATATATTTAATATTTAAAAGATTAAAATTATATAATTAAAATATTGAGAACTAAAATGAGACAAATTCTATCATTTGAGTATCTCTAATGTAATTAATCATTTCATGTCATTGCTTTATTGTTGGGATTGTTGAAAACAAGACTCTAACCCCTACATCTTTGGATGTTGGTGAATTTGTAATAATGCGTTAACAGATACCAGCGAACTTTAAAATAAATAATTAAACTTAATTAAAATTTAAAGATTGATATTCAAAACACCCATTACCAGATTTAATAAGACAGATATTAATTAAATCATTAAATAATCAAACCAATTAATATTCACTATTTAAACTTATTTAATAAATAAGACAAATATTAATTAAATCAAATAATTTATGCACCGCTCGAACCTCTTGACCGGTCCTAGAAAGAGGATTTGACCTCGTGGGCACTGGGCAACAGAGGTATGCCCAATAAATTGTGCTATATGAGGTAGTTTAATCGCCCTGCTGAGGACTGTCTTTGAAGAAAAGCATGGGAAAAGTTTGTCCGTCTATTTCCACGTGTGGTTTTTCTTAACTTAAATTTCTTTAAAATAATTTCTCTTTGTAAAGAAATTTATATTTCAATATATCAGGCCGATTATGATACCGAAATAGCAATTTATGTTGAAAATATAAATCCAAAGAATAAAATAAATGATTGGGTGAGATACGGACTGACGCTGCCCTGCTCAGCTGTCATACCACCATTGGCCGTGAAACTTGAGTATTGCAGCTAATGTTCTATGTGTAGTCTTTCAGTTTAGCCTTAGTCTTTTCAAACGACTAGCGCACGATCTGTCCATATCTTCTTAATCATCATTCTGACACGCTCTTTACTCCTATATAATCCGTTTCCAGACCTGGTATTTTGGAGACTCCTTGTGCTACTGCTCTTAAAGCAACTTTTTCTTGAGTGCAAGCTACTCAATACACTCTTTGTACCTTCAATCCGCTTTCTAATTCCTCTCCAACACCAAAGACGGTCCTTGGGGCAGCCTTCAAAGTGATGCCTACAGATGAAGTTCGGTGCATTTACCCTAACTCTCACATGTCCCTGCCTTTCAACTTCTCCAAACTTCTTTAATGGACAAATTGGCTTAGCAGCAACCCAATTCATGCATGGAAAGCCCCTTCTATTGATTGGATTTCGTGGGTTACACGTGTTAAAGCAGCCAAGGGAACTCTATTGTCGTCTTGGTATTTATGATGCCATCGAGTTAAGAATTATAACGAATCCTATCGACAAGCCGCTGCTCAGTGCTGCTTTCTTATTTTTGGTTTGTGGCGGACAACGCCTTCCACTTTTGTTTTTGGCATGATGGGCCCCATGATGTATGATATTTCTACTCTCCTTGGTCTTCCTCCCTTCGAGGCCGAGGCTAATGTTCTGCTTTTGCATACTGAAACGAGCTACATATTTTCACTTGACGTGCACAACAAACCAATCATCGCCTATTCTTTTTTCTTGAACCATGGTATGGCCATTATGGCTCTTCTATGTCAGATCAAGAATACACCTTGTTCTTGCTCTATTGGCTTAAATAGTTCTTTTTTGGCACTCTGTCTTATAAGGTGACCAAGGAGTATATTCTGTTGGCCGCCTTCTTGGCCGCAAGATCTTCATATGCTCTTACCCCTGTCATGCTTGCCCAACTTTATCTCGGAATATGGGAGACAGTGGTGTCGAAAATGCAGAGGGGTTCAAAACTTCTTTGGATTCCCCAGTTATGGTTTCATTCTTATTTCTTAGAATTCTCTATTCTGTCTGCTTATAACACATCTTTTTCTTATGGTCTTCTATTTGTCATGGCCCCTTCTAAAGAATGGTCCTTTATTGACCCTTTTTTTTATATGTATAATCTAAATGACTCACAGTATGTTTGGATGTCATTTGCCTAGAATCAAGTTCCTAAATGGTTTCTTTACAATCCTGAGGAGGCCCTAACCGAAGCCCACTACTTCTCATGAGGATATCTGGTCCTTTTA